CCCCCCTGCAAAGGAGGAGGCGAGAGGCACAAGCGTCATGTTACTATGCTGTCGCCATGCTGTTACTATGCTGTTGCCATGCCAACCTCTCATTCCCCTGATAGTTGGAGAGTTGACCATACAGGTGGAGTGCACCTCTGTGACATCATAGAGGTGCAAATCAGAATCCACATGTATCAAATCCGTTGCAGCCCTGTTTTTAGAGATTTGGGTATGGAGGAAAAGAGAGAGGGTTGTATTTTCTGAGACTTGGTGAGTTCCCTGGAACACCGGGGACACATATTCATGTATAAAAGATGTACAAAAGTGCCTTTTGCATGATAGGTCCCCTTTAAAGTATGATGGTATGTTTAATACATTGTGAAAAAAAACAGGTAAAACCTTTAATCTGTATAGTGCTTTGTCCACCAAAGTAACCACAATTGCAGCCGGTTACGCCATCTTTGGTTGGTAGCCAAGATGGCCTCTGTTGAGGGTAGGAAGTGGCGTTCCACACTCAACTTTTTACTGTTATGCGGGCATCAGGAACTCTGGGATGTTCCTACATCCAGGACACGGTTAAACTGTACATCCCAGCACGTGCACTCCGCTCTGCATCAGCCAACAGCTCGCTGCACCTGCACTGCGAGGGGGTCCCAAGTTCCCATCAGCAAAAACACGTGGGTTTGCTATCCTGGCTTCAAAATGGTGGAATGAGCTCCCCATTGACATCAGGACAGCAGAAAGCTTACACATCTTCCGGCGCAGACTGAAAACTCATCTCTTTCGACTCCACTTCGATCGATATAATTACTAACAAAGAATTGCTAACAAAGCACTTATATACTAATAAAGGACTGGCTTATCTAAAACCAGTTGAGTAGCACTTGAAATGTTTTAGCTCTATGAAACCTGATGTACTTATATGATTCTGTTTTCTTCAAGTTTGTATGTATATCTTCTTGGTCGAATGCACTTATTGTAAGTCACTTTGGATAAAAGCGTCAGCTAAATACAATGTAATGTAATGTAATGTAATAGTACAGAGTACAGAAGTATACAAATTGAGAAACAGCATAATTCTGCAAAGTGATCAGCCAGCGCCATTTTCCTCTGAACTAGTTAAATGACCACGTCAAACTGTTAAATATCTGCTCTTATTCTATTTCTATCAGGCAGACTCTCACACACACAACTCTTCTCGTACGTTTCTCACAAATCCATTTTTTCCTCACTTTGCTTCCTTTTCCCGTCTCTGTCCCTCTGTGTTTCTCGCTTTCAACCAACGCAAAACACGCTGTACCGTCTCCCTCTTTCTCCCACTGATAATATATGAACCCCTCACCACACACACACACACACACACGCACACGCACACGCACACGCACACACTCTTCACAGGAACAATCTGTCCCATTAATGTGAGGTCGCAGCAGACCGTTTTTCCACTTATCAGCTCTCTGGATTTAAATAAAGCCCTATCACAGATACACTGTTGCCTAGAAACACAATAAGATGCATCAATAATAGGATTTACCCAGAAGCCTACAAGACCCCTTTAGATCTCAGCTGCCTTTCCCCCTTTGTGCGGCTTCAGATTTCCCTGCATCTGCTGCTTGTGTGCTGTCGTATTGTGCTCTAAAGAGATTTTTAATTTATTTGGTGTTTTTGTCCCTCGTTTATTATCTTATTTCCCAGGAGTCCAGGTTTCTTTTGTAGTTCAATTTGAACTCAATTCAATTTGATGCTTTTCCATTTCGTTTTTTTAACATGATACATTTGGCCAAACTGAAAACATAATTCCCTGTGGTGACAGATGTGCTTTGTCTTGTTTTTTTGTTGTTAATCCAGTCAGTCCTACCTCAATTTATTTCTGGGATTTTTTAACTTTCTCTTTTGGTCTTAGCCGATGCTTGAGCTCCGGTGGAATTTAGAGGAAGTGCCCCCATGCCCTCAGTTCCAAGGAGTGTCTTATGTAACAACAGCCCCTCTGGTAGTGAGGCATTTCACGGCACCAGTGATAAAAGATGAATGCCTATTCTTAAAATGGTCAGAGAGCTTTTTAAAGAACTCTAAGGAAATTGAGGCGTTCAAGAGGACACAAGATAAGCCTGTCCTACATTATGATTATTAATACAGTATTATTGCTCAGATCTAATTGATTAAACCAGCAGAGAGATGGTAGTTAACTATTGCAGGTTTATTATATTAGTAAACTTTATTCATAGCCACTTATTAAGCAATTTTATCACAATTTCCCATCATTAAAAGATCATCATCGTTTTCATGAAAGTGCTCCTGCCTGTTTTATAAGACTTAATGAATACATTATGGAATATATTCACACTTCTCTGTCAGAGGTAATGAGATATAGGTTACCTATTAGCAGTTGAAGATAATCATCTGAGCGCCTCTGATATCTGCCTCAGTTCATTTTCTGCCCAGATACGGCAGTGGCGAATGGGAATGTGGCAGGGTGCCTGCTAAAATCGTGCAGGGTTTTTAATAGGAATGCATTTTCCCTCAGAGGATTTTGTGGTGATTCCCAGTGTAATCATGTGACCCTAACCAACCCTGTTAATATACATTGTGGGAAAACCAACTGAGAATGCATTTTGTTGGTCTTTTCAGAATCAACAGATGGCTTATTATTGACCGTGATACTTCGTTACTATTACTAGTGCTCATGTTGTGTCTTCTGCTAATACTTCTATAATAAAAAAATTGTGTTAATACTACCATTATGACTATTACTCTGAGTTACAAATACTACTAGAGGTTTCACCTGGTACTTTTTAAGTTAAGCTAAACTACCACTTACATCCTACAATAATCTAAAGTGTCTTTTAATTAATTGTTTTGGTTTTCAGGAATTTGTTTGTCACGCTTATCAACCTTATTTTGATTTCAGCAAAAAAGGTCTGAAACATCGGCTGTTTGGTACCGAACAAGCATCAAACAGGAAACGTAAGAAGTTAGCAACTAGCTAGGGAACTTAGTAGAGCATTTAGCCACTAAAAAGCCAGATCTTTTCTTTATTAGGTGGTGGAGACCAACACAGAGGTAAAAGGAAAACATATTGGACTTACTGTATTACGGGTCATGAAACATAACTTTAAATACGTTATTATGTTTCTTCTTTGTGTCTGCAACTGTTTGCTAACACGCTAACCATACAGTGATCATATGTAAATTCTGTGTTTACAGCTTATTCCACAAGCCCTAAATGGCCCATAACTTTTTCTTTTTTTAATTAAACATGAATGTGTACAACTTTGAATACATGGTCTGCTGTACTACATTCCTATTACTGATGAATACGTTTTACAGTCAATAAACTATTATGACAAAAACAACATTATCTAAGGTTTTTTGTAATCTGTTTGTATGAAATCAATCTTACCACAGTCAGCATGTTAAAACAAACTAGTGTGTGTTCAGCAGCTTTGTAGGAACTGTGTGCTGTTGTCCTCTGATGAACTCCAGTCAGATCAACAGGTGTATATTCTCTTCCGTCTCGTCTGTGTGTTCATCCATCAGGTGAAAGTGAGTCAGTGGAGTCTCACCTTGACATACAGCTGCTGGAACTCCTCCAGGTTCAGGCGTCCGGTGGGACAGTCCTTCAGGAAACCCTTGTACCACTGCTTCAGCTCATGTTCATTAAACTCTGTGTTCTTCACCAGGTCCTCCATCACTTCAGGGGTCAGCTTGCTGTTCTGTTTCCCCATTTTGCCTGCGAAAAGGCCACACACATAAAAAAAAACAGATTAGTTCATGATTATAAGCACCTTTCAGAATACAAAGAGGTACCTTTTTATAAAGTGATGAAACTAGAAGTGTGATGGTGGAAGGAAGAGTGACTTATGAATGCTAAAAACAGATTCCTAGAAAACTCTAAAAGTGTGAACCAAAGCTTTAATCTAAAAATAAGTGTAATATAATGAACAGGGACAGTCTCACATGATGGTTAGTCCAGTACTGTTATTTCTTCATGAGGAAAGGGTCAGTTCAAACACTTACAACTTCTGTCTTCCTTTGATCCGCTGCTTGCCCTATTTTCTTTTATTTCGTTAGCCTAATATTTAAATAGCATGTTCAAATCAAATTTCAAGCCTTAAGGTTATTACTTTCCAAATGGAGAAAATCTCACTTCCAAATGAAACTCTTTGAATGTGGAAAGGGTCATAATGGCATCATAACATAGTTGGCTCTCTGTGACTTTTCAGAAAAACTGAAATGTGTTTTAGTGTTAATTGTCTGCATCGGCACAGTGCTGATGCTGCCACTTCACCTCCTTGAGTACATTAACCAATATGTAATGATCATAATTAGCAAAAGATGGTTCAAGTTTTTGGAAACATTTCTATTTCTCATTGCTTAGAGGATCGTTAGACCTCTTATGGGACAGACTGGCAGCAGCAGTGTGTGTGGTGTGCACAGAGGTGAGGTGAGGAGACCCGGGCAAGCATCCAACGGGTGCTGCAGGCATATACTGAGGACATGCTGCGTTGGTTTTTGCAAAGCATAATTTAAGGATGCTTATTTAAATCGACTATGTTTTTAAAGCATGATATAGGTTTTTGGATTGATTTTGTACATTCAAGGTTGTAAATAGTTTCATTTGTGTTACAATACGCCAAGTAAAGAAACTATGCCAACACCTAAAGCTCACCTGGGACTAATATCACTTTTATGCCTTTTTTGACTGCCAATGTTACATTATTGCTGCATGAGGTTACGTGCAATGAATGTTTTCAATACTTTCCCAGTGGTGATTTTATAATAACTTAATAGACTAAAAATGAAACATCTACAAGTTTAGGATTTAGGATGAATTAACCACATTTCCACAGAAAATAGATCTACACTAGATGTCAAAGAAAAAACTCACCACCAAGGTGGTTTTCCAAAATGGTCCCTCCTCAGAATAACAAAAATAGAGTTCAGTAAGACAGCGCCATACAAATAAAGAAGTAAGGTCAGAAAGAATGAAAACCAGCAGTTGGATTTAGAAGTGAGGATATCAATATAAAATGTTAAGTGAACTTCACACATTGATACGCAACAGAAAATATATTTATTTGAGGTGGTTATCAGTTTGCCGGCAGGATTTCCGAAAAAACTACAGATCCAAATGTAATGAAACTTGATGGAAGGGTGCGGCATGGAACAACCAATCAATTGTTGAGCCAAATCGTGGCAAATACACGCACACATTTTCACTGGAACAGCCTAAACGTAATTCTTCGCTCACTGATTGCCCTTTTATTTTGTCATTAATTAGATAAAACGTGCTATACCTCTCGTATAGAGCTTTAAAAGGACAGTTTGACATTTTGGCAAACACCCTTATTTGCTTTCTTGATGAAAGTTAGATGAGAGGATCGATGGCGCTCTCCCCGGAGAGTCAAGATCAATCTTCTCATCTAACTCTTGGCCGGAACCCAAATAAGCTTATTTCCCCAAAATGCAAAACTATTTGTTTAGGCTTCTATCTGGATGGAATTGGGGAGGGAGTAGTGTTTGTTTTATTGTGATAAAGAGATGTGTGTATATTTTTCATACAGGCATCAATATACACAGGGGTCAGACTATTTTTGGGAAGTTGTGGAATGGAGGCATGAGGTAGTTCAGTGTGTGTGTGGGCTATTATGTGATCTCATTTAGTTATCTGCGGTGTTGACAAAGAAGCGGAACAGTACAGAGACTGCCCCATCGATCAGAAAAGTTGTCCTTTGTGAATTGAGAGAAAATGAAAATAAACTATTTTTTCATTTCACAAAGAGTCCTTAGAACCTTTCCAAGCAGCTCAGACAGTCCCTGAACCACAATTTGGAAACCATTTGTTTAAGACGGATAGATTTTCTTTGCCCTGAGGCTGAAATCCAATTTTAAAAACTGCTTTGAGCCAGGCTTGACCCAGGTTCACCAAGGACTCATAATGAACAAAGCGTAAATACACCTTATGACTGATCATGCTTCCATACTGCATGTATACTAAAACGCTCAATACAAAAGAAGTGATTCATTTGTTAGGAATTAAACCACTGCAGGTAAGACAATGGCGACGTTGTTCTAATATTAATAAGGCATGTACTTATTGGATAACGGTGAATAGAAAACGCTATTTAATCAGGGAAACAATGCAACAATTTCATTTAAAAAAAGAAAAAAAAGAATCCTATTAAATGTAATAGCTTCAGGGGGATGCAACCTAAAAATCACAGACAAACAAACACGCACGCACGCACGCACGCACACACACACACACATACACACACACACGTACGTATTGATGAATTATTAAGGGATATGCAGCATTTTCGGTCACCTGCATTTGTGTGAAGCAAGGACCTTAATACAGGATATTGATAATGAGCTTTGAGCTTAAAAAGCCTTCATTTAAAAATGGACACTTGACATAAAAAAATCTTGATATCATCGAAACACATTTGCCACGAATTATGGGTACTTTATTTAGGTGAGAGACACTTCGGTACATAAAGCCACAGGACCATTATATCCCCGACTTTTCCCCTACGTGTGCAGCCCTCTCTGGACCAATATGCAGTCTAATAACATGCTGTGTGTGAGGAGATCATTCTCTGTAAAGTAGCTATGCCACAGTAATATGAACACAAAAGTGTTCAGATAAAAACCTTGCACCTCTCAAATAGAAGCTTTTTGGCAGCAAATAAATCAGCCGTGTGTTAATGTGACCTGCAGAGCAGCCTAAGTGCATTCAGATGCCTCTGAAAAAGAAAGGAGAGGAAGTTGGACTATTCCCTCCTCCATAACTGACCCTGTGTGTGTTTCAGTGTGGAAAACAAAAAAAGTGGTGTTCTGAAATGTTTCAACAGTAACTAAAATGATTCAGCAGCATAACTGTTCGTCTAGAGTTCAGAATATGTCTCTTTGATATGTGAAAATGATGCGAACACATCAATTTAAGGACAGAAACATTGGCATGCCCTTGCATAAGTGTTTGTCATTTGAGTAAATGTTTTATTTCTTGGGAGAGTGGACAATTTTCTCTTCGGTTCAACATGATTTAATAAAAAACATTTATGATACTAACACCATTTATGGTAGATCTTTGGGACGAAGAATGCCATCACTAGAAGTAACAAGCTAATGCTAGGCTATAAACGAACTTCATCACAGTGGGCTGACTGCTGGCGAATGACTCATGATAAGCTAAAGGGAGCTAATGTTAGGCGTAATGATGTGTCCTAGTGAAATTCAGTCAATTGTTAGCAACTCCTGTTTTTATGACACACAGAAGCTTTAGACAATAATCACTGGAATAATTACTGATGTAAATGATGTCGTAGAACAAAACGTGAACATCTCTTCAGCTTGTGTTAACCACAGATCTTATTACAGGTGTCCAATGAAAAGAGTTTAAAATGCTAACTCATATCTCGGTTTAAGGACTCATTCCTGCACCTCTCTAGTTTCCCAGTTTTCCCAAAAATATTTTGTTACTCCAGTGAGTGCAACAAAAATATTCCAAAAAAGAATTTGATAATGGAATAATTAGAATGATCCTGAAGCATGAATCAGTATGCTACCCAGTGTTCAGCTTCTGTCCCAAGGGTTAACAACCACGCACTGACTAGAGAATTGTAAATTAGAATATCAGACCTGCAGCAATACTAATTACCATGCAGTTATGGGTTGAACTTTACTGTCTGAATATGTCAACTCTTTTCTCTGTGCGTAGCGATCAGAAACACCCTGCTACATGAAACGTCCCTAAGTGCTGCAGTGAAAGTGAGGAGGCAGCGCAGCCTGACAGCAAGTTGCCAACACTGTTCTGTTACAACACGGGCTGCCAGACAGGGTGGGCTGAGCCTGGGCACTGCAGCTTCAGAGGGAGACAGGTGTGTTCCCCGAGAGATGTGCACTGCCATAACGTGCCTGTGTGGGTGTGTGTGCACGTCCGTTTGTACCTAAACAGCAGGTATGTGAATGAATGCACGTATACAATTGTTCATAGTATGTAAAGGTATTTGTGTGCAACCTACGGAAAACATCATTAAGTATTAATCTAATGTAGTGCATTTGAAGGCATCACAAGCATCAGCATATTGTCAGCATACACAACTTCGAAAAGCATCCGGGGAATTATTACGTTGAAAGATGCAAAATGATATGTTCATTCACTTCTAATATGCACACAATATGCACAAAGTTGCATGCACCATAATGCACTCGTCTTTTCTCATGCATGCAACAAGCAGCAGAGCAGATCCTGCATCTGTATAATGTCTGGTGGCCCAGCTTTACGTCACCATCCATGATATTTCTTTCCATGTCATACAATAAACTGCTATTGTGATAAGATGCGATTACTTTACTTCTTGCACAATAATTTATCTCCAGTGTTTATTTAGGATGTACCAGAAAGAAAACTAACACTTAAATAAATCACACATTTTTTTAATACCGCCCACTCAGCTCTGCTTATATAAAATCTGCAACTGCACAACCTCAAGTGACGCAAGTGGCAACATGGTATGGCCGAGCACTTTCACAACATCATCTTCCTACGCCTTTTACTTTGTAAAGACTTCTGAGTTGTGTGACGGTCAGTTTGGCCCAAAGAGAATACACATTTTTGTGCAGGTTACCAAGGTACTAGGAGTTTATGATCAAATCTGTCTTCCATATCAGACCGTTGCCTAATTGTCAATTTTCAGAGCTATGCGAGAGCCTCTCTCATTTTTCTTTTGAACATGCATCAACCTTGTACTGCAATAGAAGAAGGAATGGAATGAAAAACATCTTTAAATGTTTGATAACTGAACAAATATTCCCCCTTAGCAACTGCTTGACAATCAACAGCCTGCAAATGTGATAATGATGAAATCCCCTCTATATATCCAGGTACAAATTATTTAGCAGTAAAAGATGTACAAGCATAAGCTGCGTAAATCACAGTTAAAAGGATAAATGCTAGGAAAGTGATGTGAAAAAAATCATGATATTTGATGGATTCAGAGGCATGACTCTTTTTAGCACACAACACTGAACACACCCCTACCTCCCCCCTGTTAGTTCTTAATTCTATGCTTGGATGGGAATGGTTTGCACCACTTACTCACTTCTACAAGGGGGGAAAAAGCAAGCAGCAAGCTTCATAATCAGCAGATGTCAGTGCTTCATTTTAGCTAAAAAAAAAAAAAGAGTCTGGGACGAGACACTAGGCTGCAGAGCGATGCAGAGCAGAGCAACACACCTGAGTCATTACCCTTTGTCTTCTAGCCCACTGGGAGACACAATGACAATAAATCATAGCTGTATCTGCAGACAGGTGTGGACTGACACATTTTACAGTCCTGTTACAACCAGACCTGCCCCCAAGCCGGGCGGTTGGCTAATATATATCTGTCCCTTCACCAGCATTTACAAACAGGGGATGACCTTGAGATGCAGGCAGAGCCCTAGCCAAGAGAAGCAACATTAGATAGGAATAATGCAGTTAGAGGGTTTGATCCAGGTAAATCTGGGAGATTTCTGTGTAATCCTGCTGCCTTTATTGTCTAGAAATGTGTGTTGTGTATGTGAATGAATGTGTGTTTGTCTGTGTAGGAGAGGTGGGGGAACAACACGCATACAGTAGAGGCTGGTGGATGATTGATTTGCAAAAAAGTGGCTTCCTTGTGAGGATGATGTGGGCTAAAGGACATACCACCCCCCCCC